TCAAAATAAGAACATGGTCAAAAATTGAAACAAGAGTTTGATTTGACCCAGCCAAGGGTTGACAGAAGTTGTACAGCTTTGATACTTAGCCTAATCAGACCAGACTGGGCTTCAAACATATTCAGAACCATATATTACATTTAGTAGGCTCCATATGTCCTCATCTTTATATTTAAAAAAAAAATTAAAAAGGACGTTGTTATTTTTGATCTGTAATATCAATAACCTTTCCAAATCAATCTGAAGGTTAAGAACAAACTAACTGGCATAATTACAGCATTAACCTTCCTTATTGCTTTGCTGCTGCTTTGTCGCAACATGGTTGAATTAAGGCTTAAATTAAGGTCTGCTATTAAGCAAAACAATACACAATTGGCTTGGATAAAATGAAAGTTTAATTGAAAATGAATTTAAGCATTGGTAATTCAAAACCCAAGTATCATTGTTCATTTAAACAGAAACCCATTTGACAAAATATATTTGAATTATTGAAAATAAGAAATTTTAAGTATCATTTTTAGCCGCTGTACATGGTAAGTTTGAAGCTATAGGCAAAATGAATAGCTTAGTCTACACAAACACAAACTAAACAAGTGTAACAGTATCTGCATAGAAATCTGGATTCTAGCCTGCTACTAAATTTAAAATTGCTGTACAAGACAGACATTCATGAGGTTGCAGACTAGCTCGCCAAGCCAGTAGTGCAAATCTGGATTGCACACCATTTATAAAAGGCCTTGCTTGAAAGCGCTGGGAAAAAAAAAAGGTTTCTATAAAAAAGGATGTTCAAGCCACCCCAGTAGATTACAGACTGTGCCAGGAAGGTGATAATCTACCTAATTGTTTCAAATCCACTTCCATAATGTAACATGCATCTGACTACAAGACTTAATTACTAAAATTGTTACTTGTCTTTTTGGATTAGAATGTATGTTAAATCGTGAATTATACAACAATTGAAAAATTTAAGTTACCAGTACTGGATGCAAAATAAGGGGGGCGAAGGACCCAATGTAACATTTTATGAAATAATTCCATCTTTTTAGGAATAGGCAATAATTAAAGAACCATGCTAAATTGCCTGTAGTGTTCAGGGATGTGTAGATTAGGGGGTTATAGGGGAATGGGTTTGGGTGGGTGCTCCGAGGGTCAGTGTAGACTTGTCGGGCCGAAGGGCCTGTTTACACACTGTAGGGATTCAATGATTCTATGATTCTATGAAAGTTCTGCACAGAGTCAGACAGACAAATGGACACAGAAACAGATACATTTTACAAATAGGGAGTGAGAATGCATATCCACTAACAATTATTGCTTCATAGCTGGGAGTACTCAGACCAATCACTAATATACAGTCAGCAAAACAGAATTGCAAATACACACTAAATCACCATCATGAAAATAAAACCACAGCAAAGCACAAGCCGTTTAGCCCCTTGAATATCCACTGTCACTCAATTAGATCATAGCTGATCTATATCTCAATTCCACCTAGTTGCTGTGAACCAGCTCCTTGATGTCCTTATTGTACAATGATCTAGATCTTGAAATTTTCCAGTCGATCTTACTTCCACAGTTGTGAGAGAAGATTTCCAAAAGCTTCCATTGCCCTTTGCATGGAAAATATCTCTGGTCTCATAGAAACAGAATATAGGAGCAGAAAGAGGCTGTTCAGCCTTTCAAACCTACTTCAAAATTCAATATGATCACAACTGATCATCCAACTCAGAATCCTGTTCCCACATTCTACCCGTGCCTTTGATTCCTTTACGTCAAGAATTGTATCTAACTCCTATTTGATGACACTCAATGTTCTAGCCTCAACCACTTTCCTTGATAGAGAATTCCATAGGGTCATCACTCTCTGGTTGAGGAATTTTCTCCTTACCTCAGTCCTAAATGGCCTACGCTGTACATTTAGACTGTGATGCTTGGTTCTGGACTTTCTGGTCATCAGGAATAACCTTCCAGCATTTACCTTATCTATTTCCTGTCAGCAATGTCTAGGTTTTATGAGATTCTCCCTCCTCCTCCTAAACTCAGTGAATACACTTTGAACTGATCCAATCTCTCTTCACACATCATAGAATCCCTACTGTGTGGAAGCAGACCATTCAGCCCATCGAGTCTACACTGACCCTCTAAAGAGCATCCCACCCAGAGCCAGGCCCATCCCCAGCCTATCCCTATAACCCTGCATTTCCCATAGCTAATTCACCTGGCCTACACATCCCTGGACACTACAGACAACTTAGCATGGCCAATCCACCTAACCGAGTTGTAGAGTCGTAAAACAGACCCTTCAGTCCAACCAATCCATGCCAAACAAATCCAAACTAAACTAGTCTTATCTGCCTGCTCCTGGCCCATTTGCCTCCAAATCATTCCTATTCATGTTCTTATCCAAATGTCTTTTAAACACTGCAATTGTACCCGCATCCACCATTTCTTCAGGATGTTCATTCCACACGCGAACCACCCTCTGTGTAAAAAGATTTGCCTCATGTTTTTTTTTAAAATCTCTCTCCTTGCACCTTACAAGTGTGCCCCATAGTCTTGAAATCCCCCATCCTAGGGCAAAGACAGTTATAAAAGAGGCAGCGTGCTAACTACTAAGCCACTATGCTGCCCCATTCTTGCCAGCACAATAATCCAACTGGTAAACCTTGTTGAACTCATCCAAAGCCACAACATCCCTTTTCAGATAAAAAGACCAAACTGCACACAATACTCCAGGTGTAGTCTCACCAAGCCCTGCACAATTGAAGCAAGACATCCCTACTTGTGTACTCTAATCCTCTCGCTAAGGCCGCATTTGCCTTCTTCACTGCATGCTTACTTTCAGCAACTGGTGTACAAGAACACCGAGGTTTTGTGGCACCTCCCCTTGTCTTAATCTATCACTGTTCAAATGATGATCTGCCTTCCTGTTTTTGCTACCGACGTGAATAACCTGACATTTATCCACATTCTACTTCATCTTGAGGTTGGTTGGCTCGCTGAGCTGGTTTGTTGTTCCGCAGATGTTTCATTACTGTGCTTGGTAACATCCTCAGTGCAGCCTCTGATGAAGCGTCGGAAAATACACCGACGCTTCATCAGAGGCTGCACTGAGGATGTTACCAAGCACAGTAACGAAATGTCTGCGGAACAACATACCAGCTCGGCAAGCCAACCGACCTCAACGCCCACAACCCGAGCTACAGATCTACTCCAAAATCTACTTCATCTGCCATGCATTTACCCACTTGCTCAACTTGTCCAAAATCACACTGAAGCATTCCTGCAACCATCCACTTAACTTTGCGTCATCTGCACACTTAGTGATATTACATTTAGTTTCCTTATTTAAATCATTAATATATTGTGATTAGTTAGTGGTTCTAGAACTGATCCTTATAGTATCCCACTGGTCACATTCCACCATTCAGGAAGAAACCAACTGATTCCTCCTGCTTGACAATCAGTTCACTATCCATGTCAGTTACACTACCCCCAAACCAATGCATTTTAAATTTTACTCGCCAATCTCTTATGTGATATCTTATCAAAAGCCTACTGAAAAAGTCGAATTAAACTACCTACACTGGTTCCCCCTTATCAACTCTACAAGTAAACATCCTTCAAAAATTCCAATTGATTCATATAGCATGTTCTTCTTTTCTGATCCAGTCACTGTTTAAGTGCTCTGCTATTAAATCTTTTGTAAGAGACTCTAGCATTGACCCCACCATTGACGTCAGGCTAAATGGTATATAACTCCCTGATTTCTCTCTCCTTTATTAATGTGAGGTTATACCACTTACCTTAGTGTAAATTCTAAATGGCAAAGCTCTAATTTTGTTTTTTAATATTATGACCTCTTGTTTTAGATAGATGTGTAATTACACCTCTGATTAGGTTGCTTAGAAAATATCTGCCAGTGAAGTACAAATCCATGGGGCTCTATGCTCTTTAATCGTTGTCTTAAATGTAGGGATGGATTTGTTCTTAAAAAAGAACTCCTGTGGTACACAAAGGAGTGCATACAGTATACAATTGCTCTGTAATAACACACTGCTACCTTTACTGTTGAAGAACAAGTATTTATCCTCTTCAAGCAGTTCCAAATGTCACATTTTACTATCAGTTTTGCATTGACTTTTACGTATTTGAATATGAACAGCTTTTAAAAAAAACTAAACAAATTGAATCTGAAATAATTTGTTAAATGCATTTGCACATACCTATTCCCCAAGATCATCTGCAGTCATTGCTTTTGAATAAATAAGGGCAAGAAAAATAATTTAAAAGATAGTAGAATTTACGGATACGTTAGACATAAAATTTCATGATTGAAATTTTAGTGTATTTTTACAGCAGCCTACAAAGTCAAAAATTTGAACACATTAACAAAATATCAATTTTAGTTCCAAACAAAGTGCCATAAATCCCACGCCACCTTCAATTTAGAACAGCTCATCATTCTTTACTTTGATACATACGTCATGATACTAATCCTGTGAAATAGAATATGCAAAATACCACTTTCAAATAGCTATTTTGAATGGAAAGCCTGATATCAGGTTGGGCCAATTAGTGCAATGCTAAGCAAATTTCTGGAATCCAATGCACAAAATAAAAGTAATTTAGCTGTAGGGCCAGGGATTTTGAATTGGGGGGGGGGGGGGGGCGGGTGTTGCGGGGATGTTGAAAGAAAAAGACTCCTGCTAATTGGTGTATAATTCCTAAAGTTTCAATTGCAATCAATTCAAATGTTCTTTTTCGTAAAAATATAATGACACTGTCCATGAGTTTCAGTTATAATTACATTTCAACCTAATTTTAGTTACATTATGTTTAAGAAATTAAATATTTCTTTCACAGCTAATGATTGGATTGGAAATTCAATTGAAAAAATAATTAATTTCATGCAATCAAAACATAAATTTTACAATAAAATACCACCTTGTTGGCTGGTAACTTCAGCACAAATGCATGAATGATCTGGCAGGGCTTACCTTACGTACAACTTCCTCTTCTTCTTGACGCTTTTCATAATGTGAAAAGTCATCAAAAATTGAGGTGGTATGCTTGTAAGTAGCAATAATTTTGAGCACTTGCTTGGCTTTCTCTAAAGGAACCTCCTGAGTGTCCCGAGAGTTAGTGACTGGCTTATTATCATTGTTTTCCAAACGGATGTGCCTCAGCTGGTTATTAGGCACGTCCTTTACAAAGATCCACTTAACATCAAATTTGCCTTTCCACTTGTCCTGTGACCAAACCCCGGCACATGTACCATAGTCCACTGGCGACTTCATTTCTGCCACTCCACAGAAGTGTCCACTGCCATTCACACTGAATAATAAGTAAACAGGAGCTTTTCCAGCCATCGAGCGATAAGCACTGTCCAAGCGTTTGTTGCCGTGTTCGGTACTACACCAAATGGAGTACTTGATAGAGCGATGGATATCATCCTCAGAGTAGCTCTTGATAATAAACACTCGGCCATTTTTAAGATTCCAATCAAAGTCTTTTGGGTTGTAGCAGTATGCAGCCTTCAATTTCTCAAGAACAGGATGAGTCTCATTGCTTGGTGGAGAGCTAACCGGTAGACTACCCACCGAGTTGCTTTCGTTACCAGTTCCACTATTTTGACCAAATGCTGCCCCTCTATTGCGAGGGGCTATCCATCGGTTCTGTGGGGTTTGTTGAGGATTCTGATAAGATTGTTGTGGAAGTTGTAATGGCTGAGCTGGAGGGGGTTGAGTCAACTGCTGCTGTGGAACTGCCTGAGTATTAGGGTCCTGATGGGTTGGAGGAGCTTTTGGTACAGGTCCTTTATTGTCCCATGTACCAATGTCCATATTATGTTTTATAGGTGGTGGGGGCAATGCAGAACCTCCTACTGCTGCTCCAGTCTTTGGTTTTAATTTTGGTTGAGGCTTGGCTGGTTTACTTGCAATGGCAGCCCACGATGTTGGCTTTGGAGCAGATACACCAGCTGCTGAGCCATTTCCAGGTGCTGTGTTGGTCATACCTGGACTGTTTACCACAGATCCTACAGTCTTTACACCTGATGTCACAGCTCCAATCTTTAGTCCAACCATCCCCTGTTCAATGCTATTCATGCCTGGTGCCTTATTCAAGGTATCATTTGGAAACCCTGCCTGTCCATCTACTATTGTTCCTCCCAAAGAACTAGGTGGGTAACTATAGCTACTGCCATATGCTGAGCTTGGTGTTTGTTGCCCCTGAGATCCACCAGTTCCCCATGCAGAAAACCCTGGATTTTCAGGGAAAAAGTTGAATCTATGTTGGTTTAAATATGGGGTACTGCCTAGTCCCCCAGGCTGACCAAACACAGCATCATGCATGAAATGATGGTCTCCATTACTCAGCTGTCCATAGGTTGTTAAATATGGAATAGGAGGATCACCGCCAGTGGACCATGGTGCTGCTTCACTAAGAGAATAGGAGAATCCAATGGAAGGGGCATAATAACTTGACAAATATGGATCAGTCATTGAAGGATAGCTGTTGCTCTGTTGATTGAAAAAGAAAAATATAATTATAATACAGTTGTTTTCAAACTATGCATTCCTCCTTCCCTTCTGCCATTTAACTTTTTAAGAAGTGCTTTGTTTCATCAAGATTGCAGTTAGTTGCAGACAATTAGATTTCATGAGATCTTTAATTTCAAATATACTTTAAATTTTAAAGTCGCTACTGAACCTCTACCAGATCTACCATTTTTAAATTGTGGAAACAGATCGCATTTAGAACTACCAAGTCCAAATAATATATTAAAGGTACATTCAATTAGAATATCACAACATTTCACAAGTTTTCTCACAAAAACTATGGTGTTAGAATTTTTGGGGTAAAAAATAATATGCCTACTTTAAAATAATTTGTAAAATTTGGGCATTACTATTGTTGCAATTTCCTCAATTATTTCATTAAAAGAACAAATTCTACAATAAAAATTGGAACAGAAAATTAACCAGACCTGTGAGTTCACAGATGTAACAATCTACTCTACATATTAGTATTAGTAACGTAATACGAGAAGGTCATTCACCTAGAATTTCAAATGTAGGAACGAGTTTTAGGACCTGTTAGTGGAAGCAGTATCCTATACAAATAACCCATTTAAAAACACTCCATTAACACAAGCAAGCAGCTGGACTCGTGAATATTTTTCAGTCAGTCCTAACTTTTCCTGTTAATCTTACCACAATAAATTTCTGCAGAAATTTCAGGATGTCACAGCAGGACTACAGTCTCCCCTGTGGAGTGTGGCAACGCAGCCAAACATAAAATAAACAAACTTTTTAAAGTAGGGCTAAGAGATGTAAATATAAATTGCAAAATCTGGAAAATAGCTAAAGGAAACTACAGTCTTTATTTCCTATTTGGAGCTTTTAAGTACATTTAAGACCTGCTGACATCCAGTTAATCTCAATGAAGTGGCAACAGGTCAGCAGTTATTTTAAATATTTTAAAATTAAGTTAAGAAACTGGACTGCCTGAAAATGTTAAAAACTTTCTTTCTCACAAGTTACAGTCTCACTGAAATTAGTGAAATAGTTTCATATTACTTGCCAGAATCCATTGACTATCAGATCGTCAACTTCATGTCTAACCTGCACTGCAGAGTTTGCACTGACGCAATGCAAAAAAAATACTGTCTCAATGCTAATGGTCTTCCTTAAAAATGTATTTATGAGATGCAGGTATTGCTGGCAAGGCCACCTTTTATGGACAATTGCCTTCAAGGTGTCAGCAGTAGTGAGCCACATTCATGAACTGCTGCAGACTATCTAATGACAGCACACCCATAGCGCCATGGGAAGAAGAATTCCAGGACTTTTAAACAGCAACATAGTACAAAGCAAGGGTGATTTATGACTGGAAGGGGAACTTGGAGGTGATGTGCCCTGCATTTGCATTCCATGTCCTTCAAGATAGTAAAGATTGCAGGTTTGGAAGCTGCTACTTGTTTGGCATCAAGTGCTCTTTTTAGACATCAATTAAAATCAGGATTTCTACAATGTACATTACATAGCTCACACACATGGTTTGGGTAGTCTTGACATTAATACAATTGAATTTATCAACATTCTATTTTTAAACAAAATAAATGCCCAGCAGATTAGAATTTAAAATTGATTTCCAACAACTGACAGCGTTTCAGGTATTGTGGCATTTCTTTTTTTAAAAAAAAAGACAGTCCCATGTTAATTGGAAGAGTAGTGGAATTGGCCTTTCTATAGAATCATCGGAATCGTAACGAGAAAACCAGGCCACCCATTAAGCTTGTACCAGAGTATCAATGAACTGAAGCTAATTATTCCAATGCCAGATCCAAACCTTTTCTGGCTCTCTTAAATACATTTTCAAATAATTATCCAATTCCTTGAACAACCTGTATTAATATAGTGTTTTTACTGCAGTAAAACCTCCCAAGATATTTCACTTCAGAGGTTTGACAAAATTTGACAACAAGCAAATGCAGAGTAAAAGTTAAGACAAAGCTCCTTAAAACCCAGAGAGAATTTCAGAGCTCAAGCCACAGCCATGGATAGTTAAGACAGAGTGGAGCAGCATAAACATCTGAGGGACATTGGGTAAAAATAGATTGCAGACATAAGGGAGTGGCGATGGTGAGATTTGGAAACAGAGAATTTTAAAATCAAGGTATTGCTTAAATCAGGGGCCAATGTGGGTCAGCAAACATAGGGCTGAAAGTGGAACAGCACCTGGTGCACTCTTATCAGGTGGAGTTCAATGCCTTCTAGAATGAAGTTGCAGAGCTACTCGTGCCACATCCTAAAAATCCTTTGCAAAGTCAGTAAGACTCAAGAAAAAGTTTTGACTCTAGTGAAAACTTTGCAAGATTTAAATTTGATAAATAAAATATCATTTTCGATTGAAATGAATAGTGGTCCTTTATTCTGTTAAAAAAAACACACTCAATTTGCCAACTGTACAATTGCAAGCTGTGGCAGACCAGTTGGCATAATTCCATTAAAAGCCAACAGAAATGACTTCGTTGTGACTGGCTGTAAACTGAAATCAAAACTCCCATTGTCTGAAAATAAAAACTCAATTATGCATTCTATCTAATTCTAGTCATCACAATTTAGGGTGTGAATCTATTAGACAAGGTGCCGAAAACATTTACAAGAATGTAACTGAAGTCCCTCTTCCCTGTAACCAAAGATATATTTAACAAGCTGGCATTGTGCCACTTAAAAACGTGGTTAGGAAAGGTGTTCAAAATCTTAGGGGACCTAGACAAAGTAGGTAAGGAGAAACTGCTCCTGTTGGTGAAAGGGTCAAGAACTATGAGGACACGGATTTAAAAAGGTTATGAGTAAAAGAACCAAATATAATGAAAATAACTTTTTTTTTTTTTAAGGACAGTAAGTGATTAGGATCTGTTTGCAAGTCTGACGGAGGTAGATAAAATCTGGCTTTCAGTGGGAATTAGCCAACCCAAAACTGATAGACAACAAGGAGTAGTGCATTGGGACTAGCAGAGATGCTCTTCTATTGAACTGGCAATGACACATTTAAGCCTTCTGTGCCGGAAACATTCCATGATTTTCATAAATTTCCTCAAACCAACAATTAAAAGTAGCCT